CTTCCCCCCCCCCCCCCCCAGCAACTATTTCTTCAAGTAGAGAGCTCAAATCTATCTATTGTCGTGGCGGACAATGGTTCCTGAATTATACTAGTACTCCTGACTTCAACAAAGGAGGTCTTGATGATGAATGTTTTCCATCGAGTCGTCATCGTCGAAATCTCTTCCTTGTATTTATGATTTAGATTTCATACCTGCTCGGGGACTCAGAGGTCGGTCAAACTCAGAGTGTGAAGAAGGTATATTATAGGTTCAACTTTGGAATGATGGCACCCGTACTGTGTGCGAGATATCTGATGCTCATCATATTTACTTATTACTTATAGGAATATTTGGCAAACGAATAAGGCCCATCACCGTTGACGAGAAATTGCATCAGGCTCAGCCAATGTACGCGTACAGTCGTTTCATGATCACTGTCAAGTCAATATACGAAAGCAAGTACTAACTATGCTTTTACAACTCATTTTTTCAATGATTCATCCATTCGCTGAGTTTCTGAGTTTCCGTGCTGACAGCACTTTCGCGGATATCAACTTGAGACGCCTGATATGCTAACCCTTTTTAGCTTACTATGCCACCCAGAGAAAGTAGAATACGAAAACAATGTCGCACGTCGCGCCCAGTACAGATAACTGCGTTCCATGTTCATTAGACAAGGAAACGATGCGATAAAGTACAGTGCAAGTACACAGCTCTAGTAATGTGACACAACAAAACCCATCTATACACGTGATCCCACACCTAAATGCTCGATGACTCTGACAGAAAATTCCAAGTGGACGCGATGAGCCCATGCAGTCGAGCAAACAATGGACATTTTCTCTCCCAAGTGTCGTCGATCATACAACCTCGAACGCCTTGCCACCCGCCCGTGCGTCGAGACTGATGACATCGTTGAGACCTGTGAAGGAATTGCGATGAGACTCCGAGAGAAAGAGTCCAATTAGCCATCTAAAACATACCCATGACTTCGAAGAATGCCTTGGGGTCCATGCCCCGAGCGGAAGTGAAGTCTGTCCCGGTCTTCTTTAGCGACCGCATAGCCTCCCGGATGCCATGCACGGCCGCAACACACGACACAAGTGAGAAGACTGATCGAAGCACTCTCAGAAGGTTTATTGAGGGAGAGAAATGTGTGTACTCACTAATGATCTTGGCACCATACTGCTCCGCCTCGCTGCAGGTGAAAGACGGAGTAAGACCGCCAGAGATGACGTTTACAAGCACCTATGGACACGTTAATATTGGAGAGCAAACAGCTGTTGCAAGTTCACGTACAGGCTTGGGAGCAAGGGCAGCGACGGTGTCCTTGAGCAGCTCGGAGGTCTTTACGCCCTCAATGAAGCAGACGTCTGCACCGGCATCTGCCGCGAGCTTGAGACGTGTGACCGCCTCCTCCATACCAAGGACTTGTGCCGAGTCAGTGCGGCCAATGATAACCTAAAGACAGAACATGTAAGGCTCTGAAGATGTTTACACAATGCGAAGCGTGCTCACAAAGTCGGAGCCACCGGGAATGGAATCACGAGCAATGACTGCTGCGCGGATGCGCTGCAAGAACTCCTCGCGGGAGACGACTTGCTTGCCCATCAAGTGTCCACAACGCTTCGTCTGCACCTGGTCTTCGATATGAAGACCAGCAACACCAGCGCGAACGTATTGGGTGACGGTCCTCGCAACCATCGCGGGCCCACCGAAGCTGAATACACATGAGCCCTTGTCATGCAGAAGCTATCCTGGAAAAAGCTTACCCAGTGTCAGCGTCGGCAATGACAGGGACGGTGGGGTCCAGGCTGCAGACCATTTGCGCGCTCTAAGGAGTCACAAGTCAGAACTGCAGCACTGAGAGAAATGTGGTCAACAACTGACCTGCACAAAGTCATTCAAGGTGGCGATGGCGACATCAGGCATGCCCAAGCGGGATGCGGTTGTAGCAGCGCCGCTGAGATAATCTCATCAGTCTTCTATATGATGACACTGAGAACGGTGCTCATACCTTTGGTACATGCAGTCGAAACCCGCCTCGAGGGCGCATCGTGCACTGATGCCATCACAGATACCGGGGGCGACCTATAATTTTCATTTAGCATACAATATGGTAATAGCGTAGAATGACACGTACAACAATGCCAGGGCGCGCAAGCATCTGGCGGAGGCGGGTGGCGGGGTCATGCGAAAGGGGACCCTCGAGGTAGTTCTTGGGATCAAGGCGGGGGTTGTAGTAGACACCCTCGCGAACAGCATGGCCGTTGGTGTCGGCGGAGGTCGCCTCAACCTCGACGACAGTCTCAATCGCGGTGGTCTCAGTCTCGCGGTGGAATTCGAATCCTGGCATTTTGAGTGGAGGATGGAAGTCTGATAGACAAGAGGGGATAGGTGGTGGTGAGTGTGGAGGGGAGATATCTATCTCTATCGGAGAGGGAGAGGCTGTTGAAAGCTGGAGGTCGGATGGTCGTGCTTATATATTGAACTTCAGTAACTTCTCGATCTGTGAAGGAGCAAAGGGCGTTTTGCGATATGATGCGCATCACAAACCTGGAACTCACGGCATAGCGTAACTACGTCTAACTACGCAGGCCATGACCGACTATGGGAAACTGGAATGTATCATGGGCATAGCGCACATCGATGAAATTACCGTGGGTCAGTTCTTTGCGCGCTGGATAAACAATGTGCAGGGATGGTGAGGAGATAGAGTGGATTTACGTGGAAGAATGGTTTGGAATGGTACTGCTCGCGGGAGGGAAGCCGCACAATGACAAATGCAGTCAATAAAAGAAGTGGGAATCCTTTGAATACGCACCGGATCAGGAAATTTTCGAGTACACCAAGCTGCCATAACTACCTGTCACTGAAGGCAACGGCACTCCGTCGGTGGCACCGCCCTCGATGGCTGCGGCCATTGAACGTCCGCGATAATGAGCTATATACAACCCAGATATCCGAAACGATTGTGGGTATGAACGCAACTGCGTCTGGTAGAGCACGCAGACCAGAGTGGGCCACGATCGGGGCTCGAAGCCATCGGGCGCTCCGCCGAGGAGAAGTGTCAAACTAGCGTCCGGATTGACGGACTGTTCGTTGGTCAATTCTAGCGCCGCGGTGGATGCAGGGTCTTTGTACTACTGACAGGCAAGCTGACAGGATGGTGTGAGTGAGAAACATAGCATGAGCGACAGAGATATTCATAACAATGATAATGCAAGTATCTTACAAACAACGCAGGGAATATGTAACCAAAAGTACTCCGGTCAACACAAGTCCGGGATAGCATCAGTGAGATTGCCAGCCAGTTTTACGAACGAGAGCTGAGAGACCCTGTGGTGCGCCCACGGCCGGCCTGTTCATCGGACAGCCACGACAGAGACTTCGACGACAGATGTCGATAGTCGGGCTTCTCGCTGAGCGGCTGACTTCTAGTGATGACGACTGCGCGTTCCGCATCGGACCCGGGCAAAGAAATATCGTTTCTTAAAGCCTTGGCTTCCGCGGAAGCTGCTTCTACACTGGACATGGTAGGCTGATCCGTAGGGCGTCTTCTATGTACAGGAGGATTTACATCAGTGACATAACTACCAGCCTGGGAGATATGACGAGCTTGAGAGGATGCGGAAACCAGCCCTGTAGAATCAGCGTTATCGTTTTCTCCGTCATACTCTAGACAGGAAAGAATCTTGCCTAGTTGAGAAAGCGACTTATAAAACCGAGTTGCTTTCTGGTAGTCATTATCATCTTCATCCAGATTACAAGTATCAATGTCTTGAATGAACTTCATGTCCAAGCAGGGAAGAGGCCACGACGCCTTCAAAACTTGTGTTGCAGCTTCACCAGATTCTTCATCTTCACTTTCCTCAGAGATCGTCAAGGCCAGGAATGACCGGCTGAGTGGACGCAAGTCCTGCAACGGGCGGCTTACGCCTTTACTCCTACTTGGGCTTGGACAGTCGTCCTTCAGAGTGTAGTGGCGTCTGGGAGAACCTTCTGGTACGGATACAATGGGAGAGCGATCATACACGTCTGACGAGTACGTAGTATACACACTCGCGAAACTGGCTGCCGGCGAAAAGCGCACTCGCCGTGATAGGCAGTCGGTTTCCGCGTCAGGAGTCTTATCGTAGCAGGAGGGTGCATTCGTAGGACTTGAAGAATCGAGAGCGCGACCAGGAGTGAGAGACTTTTTCGGTCGGAGCTTTGGAGTATCCAGTATCGAACTAGCTGTAGTCGACCTCATTTGGAGTAAGTCCAGCGAACAATGGATGGTTTGGGGACCAATACACAAGATTGTACGGAGTCGTCCTTTGGAAAGGGTCAAAGAATATCAACCTCAGCTTTATACGCGATTTGGAAGGGCCAAAGCTGGCCGCCGCCACAGTTATTTGGCGCCGGGGAGGCGGTGAGGCCTCCGCCCGAGAATGGATTACAAAACCAGGTGAAGGCCGCCTTCTCACTGCATGCTTACTACTTGTCACCGACTTCGCTAACATATATTCTACTCTAGTCTAGAGGGTGCTCAGATTACACATGTGTTACAGCAGCGTAAATCCATTTCACCATTCTGACCAAAATCGCATCTAGAAAGAGGAAAGGATCCCATAACGCCAACCTGGACTACAGCGGCATTTTTATTATTCCTCGTCACTCCCTCGCACTGGACGGGAAACTTTGGATTGGGGTAAAGTTGCGGCCGGCGAAAAGATAGCAAAGAAGTGGTTGAGGTAGCAAACTTGACACACAGTTCGAGCTTGTCCTGCGATTCTGTCATGTTTATGAAATTGATGGGGGATGAAAACGGAGTCAGCACTGTTCCTACTTGTAAGTGCAGAAGGGAGTCTGCGTCTTCGTCTTCAAAATTGTCCAGTTATTTCCATTTCTCGCTGCATCCTCCGTCAACTGTCACCCGTACAGCCAATTCATATCTTCAGCCCCGCTTGCGTCGACCTGTTGTCCCTGTCTTCGCCCGCACTATCCAGGGCCACCAGACCTACATCTATCACCCGCTGCACTTACAGCTAGTGTTGCTATTGACTCAGAGCCCGGCTCACATTCGTCCACACCGCCACCTCGTCCAGTGTCAATACAAGCCCGTAAACGCCCTCGATCCTGGCTCATAGAGACAGGAAGACATGCGCGCTACTTATCTCTCAGCAACACTGACCTCTCTGCCTCTGCGATCTACATCTCGAGCGTTAGTATGTAATGAAACGAACAAATGAAGACGGGCATTTCGCTGTCCCTATCCCCAATTTCTATGACGGACGCCGCCAAATCTGACTATTTCCACTTTGCATAAACCCCACCTCCGCTTAAGCCCCGACTTGTCGTGAAATGTCCAATGGGACGTCTCATCGCAACTTCGAAGGTCTTCCACACAGCGAATTGTCGGGCTGCAGCTCCCAGCTATGCCACGGCGCTCACGCTCTTCCCCACATAGTCATCCAGCACGAGGAGCACCCAGGACACCTTGGAAAGTAGCACAGAGTAATGGAGCCGTGTGTGCGACACCGCCTAACGATCGGGGCCTCACCCAATGTACCATGGCTCTGCAAGCTTCGAAGTGTTGATTTCCGGGGTGACACGCAGTTCAGGATAAGGCTTTATTGAATGAGAGGGTCACTAGCCCGAACACAGATGCATCTTCGGAGGTGACGATGCGTGCGAAACGGTGGTCAAAGTACATTTTGATATCGCACTCATGCACGGCAGCGACGAAGATGCTGGGGATGATGTCGTACGGGGGTACGCAGCAACGGGTGGCCGTAGCGGACTCCATTTTATAATTGAACGATGCGAGTGGGAGAGTTGGAGGCACAAACGGTCCAAGAGATATCCAAGGAATAGAAGATGTGCAGGATATTGGGGAAGAGGCAGATCAAACTATGTTGATTGTAGGAGGTGGTGATAGCGAGAGAAAGGCAGAGGCTCTGCTAGAAGAGCGAGCGACTGAGACAGACCCTAGCAGAGAGACGACGATGTTACCGGCAGGCTGCAGCCAATTACAGCCATCTATAGGCGAAGCGAACATTATTGTTGACCTCAACTAAGCCGCCCCCTCTGGACGTCATCGTTTGTTCGCTTCGGAGTTCCTTCAGACGATCTCACCATGTTTTGGTGTCTCTCCTTCCGATTGCACCTGCGCACGGCTATATTAAACTCGGGAGGACGGAGGGAAAGGATAGAATGCGCGCTGTGAACCTATCATGATACATCGGCCATCTTCAGCGTATATCGATCTTTGCACTGACCCCTAGTATGTATGCTATTAGAAATCCTGAGTTAGCACCTCTCGTATTGCTCCACGTTCGTCTTCTTACATGAACGGCCGCGTTCTAGTCGGAATGGCTGACCCGTAGGTGTAGATTTGGAAAGACGAACATGAGGTGTGTTGCCGCGGCGGCTATCCCAGAACAGGTATTAATAGAGCAATGTATAACGGCCAGTACGAACGTACCCACTCATGAACCACATCCTTTCGAGTCAAAATTCGCATTCCCTTTACGAAGGAGCCGCTGAGGAGCAGCCCTCCAGAGAATTTATGATTGCAAATTATCTAAAGCCATGGTGTTTCCATCGGGATAGACACAAGAAAACCTGGAAAAATTATCAACACCATCTGAATTGGTACAAGATGCCTTCCACTACTTACCATGCGCTATAATTTAAAATAAGAATATTGTTAGACTGGGGCTAACGGCTAACTTGGCCGGCACGAACTTCCTGGAACTTAACCAAGGACAGAGCTTCCCAGGTGTTCAGCGCAAGCATAACAGCAACACAGAAGCGGGAGGAGGAAGAGGAGAGGCGAGCTGCGACCCGTTGCGACGCGCCGACAGCCGTGCGGAGGCTCTCCGAGATTTCCCCGCTCGCCTTTTGGCTGCGACTCAAGTGACCTCGTGCTGCAGGCTGACTTGTCATGCACCGTTCTCTCTCTAGTCGAGGCAGCTGGCTCGCAGTAGTATAGGACCGTATAAAACCCGGAGGGCCCCATGCTCGCTCCTCAGCTTAGACCGCGAGCACACCGAGCACAGTATGTCCGAATCCTACACTTGGCTAATTACCGGGTGAGTCCTTCAACGGTCCTGTCTCACAGTATACTGTCTTACAGGACGTGTCTAATTGGTATCGCTCAGATCCAACCGTGGCTTGGGGCTCGAGCTTACTCGCCAGTTGCTTACCTCGCCATCTAACACGGTGATCGCCTCTTGTCGGACCCCGGACAAGGCAGCGGAGCTGCACGCTCTGAAGAACACCGCGAAGGGCACACTGCACGTCATTCCTCTTGATGTCAGTAGCGAGCAGTCTATCCGTGATTCAGTCAGACATGTCGACACAATACTTGCCGGCAGGGGGCTAGATTATCTGTATAACAATGCTGGCGTAGTGCGTCCACTTTTGCTCACTTCGCTGAAAACAGCCCTCTCATTCCTGAAAGAACCCCACGTACGACTCCCCATTCGAGTTTTCCTACCCAGAATTTCTGGAGGTACTCCAGACGAACGTTGGTGCACCCGCACTGCTCGGCCAGCTTTATTTCCCGTACCTTGAGAAGGGGACACGCAAAGTAATTGTGAACGTGTCTACTGGCCTTGCAAGCATCGGCCTCAATGCCGGGCCGAAGTGTAACTCGTACAGTATTAGCAAGACAGCGTTGAACATGCTGGTGCGTATGATTGTGTCGACATCGTTTCGCGAGCCCATAGCAACTGAATTGCATAGACGTATAAACAAGCAAGGGCCCGTCCAGACTTTACTGCCATCATTCTCGATCCTGGCTGGGTGAAGACTGGTGAGCATTGCACTCAAGCCACTTGAGGCATCAGTTAGTGACATTTCGGCATTCCTCAGTGATGGGCGGGGAAGGTGCAGTTCTAGAGCCAGAGGAGAGTGTGACCGGGATCCTGAAGGTCGTTTTAAATGTCACGCCGAAGGATTCCGGAAAATTCTGGAGGTACAACGGCACCCAGCACCCCTGGTAACTGGTTCTCATTTCTGAAAGCAACGAAGTGTATAATATGAAGCGAGCGAAGAGAATACTGGAAGCTGATAACGCGACTTGAGCTCTTCGTACTACATCACACTGACGCCGTGGCATGTTTTAAGCTCCTCTACGCTTTTTGGCCTTCTATCCCGTATTCGCATTGCTCGCGAATAGACCGAGATAACTTATGTCCAAGCAGACGTCGGTATCATGAGACTAGCGGAGTCAGGCGTACAGGGGTTGCCTGAAACAAGATCTACACAACGCACTTGATAGTACTTTCGTATTACTGCGTCAAGGCATATCGACGACCGCGCAAGCTCAGTGAAAATGCTTCCGCGTCATTGCTGCACATACACGATGCATCCTCCTGACATCGACCTCGATCCTCATGACCCATCCAAGGCTACTTTTAGATACCGATTCTCCGAACGCAGTTCAATTTGTCATGCGACAAAGTGGTAAGATACCCGCAGGATTGCCCAATCTTACTTTCTTAGGTGGGTTATCGATGCCACACGGCGACTGGCGAATGTCGGCTGGTAACACAATTGAGTCATGCCACGAAGAATTGCGTAACGTACCAAATGAGGTCACTGAAGACGACGGAAAGACCCATGCTAATTCAGTGTGTATAGTACCCACGACAATTCCACTGCTTGTCAACGATTTTTGCTTCATAGATAAGGCTACACAAGACGTCCTACCCTTGCTGAATCCAACAATGACCTCAGTTACCTGGCTCATTACTGGGTGAGTCGTACGGCTCCCTAGTGCATGAAATGTTCACAGGAGATAACCTCCCAATAGTTCCTCCAGAGGATTAGGATTTGAGCTCGTCAGACAACTTCTTCCCTCACCTGAGAACTTCATCATAGCAACATGCCGCAATCCAGACAAAGCGGCGGCCCTGCAAGAGCTGAAGGACAATGCCGGAGGAAAACTTCACCTGGTTGCGCTCGATACTAACAGCGAGTCATCTATCAGGAATTCATTTGAGGCCGTTAAAGCCATTCTCAACGATAGGGGAGTAGACTACCTATACAACAATGCCGGTCTGGTGAGATGAACCTCACCCATGCAATCTTACTCCAGTGACGAGTATATTCCTGTCCAGGACGTTGCAGATGAGGCATTCAGCTTCCAGTATGCGGATCTACTGCAGATCCTGCAGACAAATGTCGCAGGACCCGCACTAATCGCAGAGGTGTACTTACCGCTAGTCGAGAAAAGTCGACGGAAGACGATTATAAATGTTTCGAGCGGATTGGGAAGTATAGGGCAAGATCGCGGACCGAGTCTGGCTTCGTATTGCATAAGCAAATCGGCCTTGAACATGCTGGTAAATCTACAGGATCGTGGACATCCAGCATTGATACTGACTGTATCGTTGATGCAGACTTACAAGCAAGCAAAAGCCAAGCCCAACATTACCTCGATTGCGCTGAGTCCGGGATGGGTCCAGACGGGTAAGCAGTTAGAGGCTAAGTCAACTTTCCATGACTAACTTCGCTACAGATATGGGCGGACCTGACGCTCCACTCTTACCGCAAGAAAGCGTCGCGTCCGCACTGAAAGTAGTCAAGTCATTGACCCTCAAAGATTCTGGTAAATTTTTGAGCTATGATGGTTCCGAGTTGCCATGGTGAAATGCGGGTGGTTTCAAAATATCCTATACTCTGTGTCTATCTAGAAAAGACATGATTTCGAATCTGAAAGCCATAATACATACCTGGAGCAATTGCGCGAACGTACATGAACGTTGCCAATCCGTGGCCGAGCCACGCGACGCGCTCCTCTCACATGACCGTGGTACAGGGATACCGGATTTGTGATGTGATCGATCGGCGAGCGAGAGATCCGAGTCCGTCGACTCAAATTGCTCACTCGAGAACGGCGCCGCCTCGAAGCTGCTTGGTCACTCTCCGTCTGGCTTACTCATGCGTTGAGTCGCTGGACTTATAAGTATCACTTTGCAGTTTTAAGCATCTCTCCTTCTGGCCCAGATTCTCTTATATCGACAGCAGCGGATACCAGATTTCTAGGGGGCATTCGAGACGAAAGAGCAAATAGTGAGCACAGCTACCTTTTTGTGAAGCTCTCGATGAGATCATAGTCTTTGCCCAGTATCTTATTTTATAGCTTTCCATGGAATTTGTTCCTGCTCCCGCAGTACACCGTGTGCTCTGCGCCGATTGTGGTACCCCGATTGTGCCCAACTCCGCCAATTTGTGCGTCGCATGCCTCAGGAATACGGTAGACATCACAGAGGGAATCCCCAAACAAGGTATTTCTTCATCCACGGCTTCAGATCTTCGTCTCGCTCATATCGGAGATCATAGCATCGCTGTCATTTTGCCGTAATTGCGAGCGTTTTCTCTCACCGCCCTCCTCATGGACGATAGCCCAGCCCGAATCGCAGGAGCTACTCGCCATCTGCTTGAAAAAATTGAAGGGTCTGAATAAGGTCCGCCTCACAGAAGCGCATTTCATCTGGACGGAACCACACTCCAAACGGCTGCGAGTGTCTTTGACAATCCAGAAAGAAGTGCTCACCTCGACTATCCTTGAACAAATCTTCGAGATCGAGTATCTTGTGCAATACGGCCAGTGTCCAGATTGTACAAAACTTGCTGCGAAAAACACTTGGAAAGCTCTTGTACAAGTGCGCCAGAAGGTCCCTCACAAGCGAACATTCTTGTTCCTCGAGCAGCTTATCCTCAAACATGGTGCTCAAAAGGATACGATATCAGTCAAAGAAGTGAAAGATGGGCTGGATTTCTTCTACAGCCAACGGAGCCATGCGATCAAGATGGTCGACTTTTTGACTAGTGTAGTGCCAATACGGTGCGTCGCTGCCCTCTTATATTGACCGAGCTGTCTTTGACGTTCCTGGTAGATCCAAAGCGTCTGAACAGCTGCTATCGGCAGATACACACACCAACACAGCGAACTTCAAATATACCTACTCTGTTGAGATCATTCCTGTTTGCAAAGATGATCTCGTCTGCCTTCCCGCAAAACTCTCTCGCTCGCTCAGCAATATCACCCCCCTGACAATGTGTTCACGTGTCGGCAACACCCTTCATCTTCTCGACCCATCCACCCTCCAGTCCTCAGAAGTTTCCGCTCAAGTGTATTGGCGCACACCATTTGACTCACTAACGACCGTTTCAGACCTTGTCGAGTTTACTGTCTTGGATATCGAGCCATCCGGAACGACGCGAGGCAAATGGGTTCTTGCCGACGCACAGGTCGCGCTCTCGGGCGCGTTCAAGTCGCATGACGATGATGCGATGGACGATGATAGCGGCGCGGGGGCGAATCAGATCTTCCACACGCGCACGCACCTCGGCGGCATATTGCAGCCTGGTGATGCGGTGTTAGGATACTACCTCTCGAACGCCAACTTCAACTCGGACGCGTTTGCGGCGCTCCCGGCGCACCGCATACCGGACGTTGTGCTCGTTAAGAAAGCATACCCGAACCGCCGCAAGAAGAACCGGGCGCGTAATTGGCGTTTGCGCAGCATTGCGAAGGAGGAAGGCGAAGAGGGCGATACCGGCTCAGGGCGTGGCGTTGTCGGACGCATGGGTGGTCGTGACAAGCGCAAGGTGGATGAAGATTATGAGCTCTTCCTGCGCGACCTGGAGGAGGACGAGGAGATGCGTGGTGCTGTTAATCTATATCGAGCCAAATCCGACAATCCCGGGGCTGGCTCAGGTATGGCGGGCGGTAAGACGCGGAAGAAGACACAGTTCGCGATGGACGTGGATGATGCTCCGAACAGCAGTGTGGCTGTTGCTGCTCCAGAGCCTGGGGAGCCGGATGAAGAGGACGAGCCGGATTTCCCGGAGGTGAAGCTTGACGAATTATTGGAGAATTTCGACGAAATGACATTAGATGACGCTTAACTCACTTTGCTTTGTGTATTGATATCGCACTTGTCTCAGACTTTCAGTGTTGTGACAATGGAGACTGCGAGCGTCACGTCTGTGACACGATGTTCATTACGGCGCGTTCTTACTCCTTAGTTGAATGCGACCATTGTCTCGCTGTCTAGACCCAGGCTGCTCTACCCGTTTTTACATTCAGAAGATGCATAAGTTACGCCCTGTGAACTCAAATGCGCTGATGCACTCGTGACAGTTCATCCTTCTCCTAGTCTGCTTCAGAAAAGACGTCGTTGACGTTAATCACGTACGCCTTTGAGCATTCCAACCGTTTCTCTTGTACGCTCGACTTTAGTACGAGCGGCTTGAAACCGACTGCAAAGCTCGCTCTGCATCCCTTTATATGCCCATCTTCGCGGGCCACCAAGTGTCCCAGGATTCCACTTTGGAAGCTATTCCCTTATGAATTCTGCTCGCTGTACATATAGTGCGTACCTACACTTGGATCTATGCGTTTGTACAAATTTGCTGTCGATAAAGAAATTTCCACGGCTATGAATCAAACATACGGGAGGCTCAGTAGTCATTTCGATACTGGAGCTGAAGGTCTTGATCAGGACGTCGTACGACTCGGACTGATCAAATTCATGGTACGTACAATACTGATCGGTTCTGAGTGTATGGTATACTTTCATACTAGATGGAGCTCTCGTCCTTGCGTATATGAGAAAAGTGATTGACGTTTCCCATTCGAAACAGCTATCACTTGGCACAGATAAGTATATATATTGTATGGCCTTGCATCGACTAGCTGAACTTCTTCGTTTCTACTTTCGAACCTCCCTCAGCCTTCACGAACATGTTAAGCACATGACCCCAGTGGGCCCTCCGCATCTCGGGGATTTCATCAATTCCTTTCAATCACCAGGTGTCTGGCGAGCTTCGCCGCATTGCCGCCTCGCTGGAGGCTTGTGACCGGATGTATGCTATGATCCAACTCGATTTCGCTCTGGGCTGACCAATCTGACGTTCGACCTTGTGGCAGCCGACCAGAAATCCATCACCCGTCTGAACGGTTGTCATGTGCGCTTTGGCCCAGAAGCAGCGCCCCATCAGTGTCCTTCAATTGATGACCGGGTCTGTTGGATTTCAAAGTTGGTGGAAGCTCTCCACAACAATGGGATTGAAGTGTCTTCCAGATGTTGCGACCAGAGCGACTGTCGAAATAGGTATGCTCTGACCTTTACTGTTCGGAGTACACGACCGCTGTCATCGCGGCGGCGAGACGATGCTCTTCCCGTGATGCCCAGCATGGTCCGAGTGCGCGCCGCATGGGTCAAGTATCGCTGCGCTGCCTCAGTGGTCTAGAGTGTGGCTTCTTTCAATAGATGAACGATTTTAATGGCCAAATTTATCTGTGTTCCTACCACCATCCACCTCCCTTGATGCTGCGACTCGCTTGCAGCAACGTATGTGGATCCTATGGGGAATGTATCCATGCGATACAATATTGGTGCTACTCCGTTTTTCCCGTCTTCTACATGCTCTGATAAAAAGCTGCGCCTTCATGAGCCACATATTTCATTCACTGAGCTCTCGACTCCTACCATCCTCTCTGTCACCACACAAGGTCATCATGCTCAGGACCTTCGCTTCCTCTATAATCCTTGGTATTATATCGGCGTCGCTTTCCAGTGCGACCATCACGACTCTCAGCCTTGACCCTATCCAGGGCAGGACGGGAGCCTACATGCATGGAGCACCTGGAGCAGGGCGTTTACGCGCTATGCTCATGAAGGGCCATACCACCACAATCCCGGCGACTAACCTTGCTTACGTGCAATACACAGCCTCCATCGGTGTCGGTTCTCCCCCCACGTACTACAGCCTTGTTATTGACACTGGTAGCTCGAATACGTTTGTCGGGTAAGCTGTATCTACTCCCAGTCCGACTTGTTACCCGTATTGATCAATATCCGGGTGGTCCATGCGGTTTGATACATGAAGGAGTGGCAAGCAGTACGTCCGCACATCAACAAGTATTCCCACTGGGCAGGAAGTGGCGGTTTCCTATGGCTCGGGTTCTTTCTCTGGCAATGAGTGTGAGTGCATGTGCTAGATGGTAACCGCCCTCCACATTCACCCTGCTGTGCTGCGTAGATCTCGATCAGGTCACTATCTCTCCCGGACTTGTGATCTCCAACCAGTCGATTGGCGACGCTTTAGAAAATTCCGGCTTCAAGTGGGTAGCTGCTTTGTTCGTGCTTGGGGATTTGAATTGTTCATTTCGATCTCGTAGAGGTGTCGATGGCATCATCGGCTTTGGGCCTACCAACCTCACGCTCGGTACGCTCTACCTAGACACCAATGCGACAATCCCTACTGTGATGGACAACTCGTATTCCCAGGCACTTATCGCGACTGAAGTGCTTGGAGTTCGTTTTGCTCCAGCGAGCACGGACAGCGATAAAAGTCTTGTTATTTCTATGATGACGTTATATGATAAGTCGCTAATTTCATCGTCTGTTTGTCAGATGGGGCGATCACACTAGGTGGCGTCGATACGAACTATGTACGTGTCTGATTATTGTGCACTATGAATGACGCCTCTGACAACGCTTGCTTGTGCAGTATATTGGCGAAATTACATACACATCTGTAACGACTACTGCCCCATCGAACTCTTATTGGGGGGTGGATGTCACCGGTGCAACTTATGGCAACACGACGATCATTCCTGGTTCATATGCAGGAATTGTTGATACTGGTACCACGCGCAAGTGTTTTCTTATTCAAGTTACAGACATATACGCTGACATAGGACGTCTTACAGTGATCTACATTGCTAACGATTGGTACTCGACGTACGAGAACTCGATTCCGGGGGCGTATTACGATCTTAACAACACAGGCTTGATTGTAATTCCCGAGTCATCTGCTGAGAACCTGCAGCCATTCAATTTAGAGATCGGAAACGCAACATTCACACTTTCCCCCAAGGCACAGCTTCTCCCAAAGAGCCAAAACGAGGCATGGGGTGGAGACTCGGGCCTCCAGTACGGCTATATTGGTCCTATCGGCACACCTAGTGGCTCGGGATTAGACTTCATACTTGGACAGAAGTTCATGGAGCAGTTCTACGCAGTGAGTGAACATAGTTATAGGAGTTTTTGTAGGAGCTCAGACGAGTGTCTTAGGTCTTCGACACCACGAACAACCGAGTCGGGTTCGCATACACGTATGTGTTTCCATCTAACGGTGAAATTCTAACTGAAAGATGTTACCCTGAACAGGGACCACACGTACTAAGTGCGGACAGATGGGAGACGCTCAGAGTCCAGATATTGATCAAAGGTGTTTCTTGCTAGCGGCGTGTAGTATCAGTGTAAAAACAGTGATAATGCATTCTTTGTCCCCAGTCAATTTAAGAATACTACGTACTGTACACATCGGATATTTTCTTATGCTTATGAAATGCAGTTCAAGTGGACGGAATGATATTGGCTCGGGAGAATTACGCCCCTAGCCTGGCAAGTTGATGGAATCGGGCGAGGCTGCCAATAGGGTATATCACGTCCAGAGCCACAAATACCGCGTCTTTGTATTTAGAGATAGACTGATCCATGCTGAGAATTTTGTTGCAAGACGTCGCAAAAAGCAAAATGGTACCTAAACATCACTGAGGTACGTTTGGTCAGAGTTACGCAGGTAATTGAGGTAACAAAGCGTAGGAAATAGGTAGCGCCATTCCCTGCCTGACTAACAGTTAATTTTTAGTCGTCCTGCTCGAACTGGGGATGTAGCAGGTGGAGCCGATTTTTTTAGTCATTCGTGATTTATAACCCGGTTGTGTGCGCCTAGACATTTTAAAGATGCAACAAGAATCCCACAGAGGCGCTGCGATCAATTCGCAAAGCTGGTGAAATGTCTATTTCACTAAGTATCCAACTAGCCAGAAATGTTCCAGAGCAATATCTAAACTTTTCTCCTCTGCGCATCTAGTCCGTGTGTGTCCTGACAAAGAATATGGTTCAGCTAAGAAATTACCACAACAAAATTATACACACGTGTACGCAAACCCGACTTGGTTGTGCGCGGTGTCGAAGACCTGAAGCGCTAGCATTAGCTGTCGCGGCGGCTCCGGAAACCGAGCCCACTTACCGCATAGAACCGCTCCATGAATTTCTGCCCAATGATGAAGTCAAGCCCCGTGCCGCTGTCTTCGCCGATTGGGCCAATGTAGCCGTACTGAAGTCCTGGCTCCGCACCCCATGCTTCGTTCTGGTCCTTGGGGAGGAGCTGTGCCTCGGGGGATAGTGAGAAAATGCCGCCGCCGATCTCAAAGTTGAACGGTTGCATGTATTCGACAGACTGCTCGGGAATAACGATCAGCCCTGTGCTGTTGTCGTAGTATGCTCCCGGGATCGAGTCCTGGTACGTTGAGTACCAATTGTCAGCAATGTATATGACTGTAGTATCCCATATAAGCGCGTATATTCATTACCTGGATAAGGGAGCTCACTTACGTGTCGTTCCAGTATCAACAATTCCCGCATATGAACCAGGAATGACCGTTGTCTCGCCGTACGTTGCAAGCGTGACATTCACACCCCAGTAATAGTTTGAGGGGTAAGTGGTCGTAACAGGTGTGTACGTGATGTCGCCCAGGTACTACACAGTTTATGTCATCAGAAGCCTCATTCACGGTGCACAGGAATTAGATGCATACCAAATCTGTATCGATACCACCTAGCGTGATCGCCCCGTCTGACAAACCATTAAATAGGTTAGCAAGCAGATAAGGAACACCATTATAGACGTGACGGACTTGTGTCGCTGTATGAATTCGCCGGGGCAAAAGATACTCCGAGAATCTCGGTCGAGATAAGCCCCTGAGAAAGGGCGTTGTTCATTACAGTAGGAATCTCAGCATTGACGTCGGGATAAAGGGTATCAAGAGTGAGGTCAACCGGGCCGAAGCCAATGATACCGTCAACACCTCTGGAGCAAGATTCAATAATCGAGGTCTCCGAGCGCGAATAAAGCAGCCACTCACTCAAAATCGGCATACTCCAAAGCGTCGCCAATTGACTGATTGGTGATTACGAAGTCGGGAGCAATAGTAACTTGGTCGAGGTCTGCACGGGGTGGGAGAGTAAGTGGGGAGAGGCGATACCACAAGGCACATGTACCCACACTCGTAACCGGAAAAGAAGCCCGTGCCATAGGTGACATTCACTTCCTGCCCAGTGGGAATGCTCGTTGATGTACGGACGTACTTCTTTCCGGTCCTTCATGTATCATCGCACATGTATCGAACAGATCTACATCAGGCCGTCGGATAAAGAGAACAAACCCGACTTACCCGACGAATGTATTGGAGCTACCAGTATCGATAACAATGTTGTAGTACGTCGCTGGAGAACCGACACCGACCGAGGCTGTGTATTGGACATAGGCAAGGTTAGTCGCTGGGATCGTGGTGGCACGACCCTTCATGAGCGCAGCACGCGCACGCCCGGCATCAGGTGCTCCCTGCATGTAGGCTCCAGTCCTGCCCTGGACAGGGTCAAGGCTGAGAGTTGTGACGGCTGCATTGGCGAACGACGCCGATACGACAGCAAGGATTACAGAGGAAGCGAATGTCCTGAGCATGGTGGTCTTGTGTACCGAGAGGGCAGCGGGAGACGAGAGCCCAGGGAACGAGACGAGCCTCTAATAAAGGCACGACGAAGGACGGGAAAACGGGACTGCACCGATATTGTACCGCATGGCTACATCCCTCAAAGGATCCGAATACACAGGCGCGAACGAATCACCGCGTAGAGGAAGGTGGATTATGACGCGAACACAGGTAAATTTGGCGAGAGAATCACTTATCTATTCAGACAAGCCGCAATCTAGAGTACCGAGACAACGCAGCGACCCTCGACCCATGCGGTAGACCACTGATCACGGCGCCGACAAGTGAATGCACATGCGATAGCCGACATCGACTCGGAGTTGCGCAGTGACAGTGTGTCGCATAATCCTCTCAGCACGTGACACACGTTTATCATATCGCGACAGACGCATTCTCCGTTCATGCCAACATTGGCAGCTCCATGAGGGCTGCTGTACGCTGTCCTGGAGAGCATCTTGTGCAGCTGGAGTCTGAGGACATTCTGATTATGATTGATGGCGCAGAGGGCTGGAAACGTCCTCCAAATCCCCACAACTCGCGTGTGACCAGCTGTATACAGACTAGTTCAAATATGAATTCGATCATCAAACCGAGTTTATTGAATGTCACGGTATACATGCGGGTACCATTCGACACTTTCCGCGCCTGCCACTGGAAAGCATTCGGTGGAATTTCACCAAGGCAAAACTCATTAGATACCTTACGATTCCTCGCATGCTACGGGCCAAAGAGATCCGTGGAGTTGAGTTGTCAGGAGGAGCAAGGAAGTTTAGTGGCGGCACAAGGCCACGCATACGTTCATATAAGTAGGTATCAGAAGAACTGCAGAACTGATCTCATTTACAAATAGACGAGATGATCACCCCATAGCAAGACATACCGCATACGCTTGGGCACGAGACCACCGTATGCCAAACCGAATCAATTGAGCACCAAACAGCTTGGTAGACTGAACTCTAAAATCTGGCGATTAGAACAGATTACATCAGTATCATGGTGTTTGTGTAATGAACATAAATAAGCTGAAAGAGCACTGGAGTGGGTTGTTCACCGGATGGCAGAATGAGTCAGGGGGGATAATGGACAGTTAGAATACATGCTCTGTGTCTGGGATCCCGCTTTTCAAAACCATTTGCTTAACACCAGCCATGAGTTTGCACCAACCAGGATTGTATGGCGTTATGCGTATCATCTTCATAGTAACCGCATCTATTGGCAGGCCAGGACATTTCGTTACTACCCTCACCGGACTTGAATTCAATGGCGATGCTCACCACTTCCAAGCCATGTCTGAACACCATCACAGAACGTGAGTTCTAGCATAGGAGCGCGCTGTCCTGTGTGGTCTGTCGCGTCCAATTCATCAACTAGACTCTATATGTACTCCTGGCCCTCTCCCAGATCGAGATTCATCATGGTCTCGATTTCTGTCAACACGTCGCTAATTTTAAACACCCCTGCACTAGCAAATCGGAAATGTCCCCGGTTTATTTTTTTGACGAACGTGGAGTGTACTGGCAAAGGCGGAATAGGATGTGAGTCCGACCACGCGAAGAGTCCCTCTGCAGTCCAAGCGCGTGAGTCATAGCCATAGTGTCGTTGTTATTTGCTGCCGTGCGCCATTCGAACCAATCAGCGTGTATTTGCGCCCCCGTGGGATCAGTCTTCTTCAGCTCCTCGAGACGCTTTCTGGACAGCGCAGTTTCTCTACAGTCCATCATTGTCGAGCTGTCACCAATACTACCACGTGGAGACTATACTCACTTGCATCCATCCCTGTCAGTCTACATATGAGAAAATGGGGGCAACGGATATTCATAAATGATACGCACTTGTGGAGCTTCCAATCTAGTAAGTTCATCAATCTAGCAGTTGGTAAGGAGCATATCATGAATGGCCCACTGTCCAATAGTAGATCCACTGGCACTGTGCGCAGCGGAACACCGGCTTTTGCTGTCGCAAGTCCCACACGTTCTACACCGCTTTTCCAGCCTATCATTATTTCGTTGCGTAGACCTGCAACGTGCGGACCATTTCGAGCCTCCGAGAGCCTGAGGAACGGGATGAGGTGGCTGGTCATCACGAGCTAGCACCTGCCTCAGGGTCGGCTCCCAGAACATGGTGGGGAGCTTCCGCAGGGTTGCCACCGCAGCATCTATATGCCTTAATTGCACGAATAAGATGCATGCAGCAGAAGGGAAAGGACGCTCGTCCTCACTCTTTCTCTGCATCTGAGTCGGTGCCCATCTGATGAAGCACCTGCGCGGCATTATTGTGCGCCCGGGTGTGCAAAGTAGAAACGTCGGCATCTACATGTGTTCCGGATAGGTTTTCTGTAGCTTTGAAAAATCCCTCGAGTATTGATCGCGATTCTTGATCAAAACGACAGGTAAGAGTGCGTGAGTATCAGTATAGCTCGTATGACCATCTAAGATCCATCAGTGTATAAAAAAAGGAAATAAGGACTTAATCCTTCATTGTACTTGAAACGTACAGAGCTTCGATAGCTGGAGCTGCCTTCTGCTCACGGAGTTTCTCCTTGTTCATCTCCATTAGTTCTGTCGCAACCGCTGGGGCTTCAGCTGGACGGTCAATCTTATAGTAGCTGCGAGTACAAGCTGTAAGCTGCGAGTACTTTTGAACCATAGGGACATACAGGAGGTGATTAGCAAGTTTGCTCCTAGGATTTGCAATCTATATAATCAATTCGGGGCTACTCTGGTCGTCATGATGCCTGAGACTCTTTCCATAAAGTAGAGTGCATCTTTTGCTTTCTGATTCGGTAGTATATGACCAGCTTCGCGCAGCTGTTTCTCAGTGCTCTCCTGCAGAGTATGTATGAACATCTTCAAGGTGAAATGACGGACTCAAGGAGGTCATCAAGCACTGCACAACATCGAGTACTAACGAGCCCCACACGCTACAAAATGGGATACGTGCCACCTTCTTTTACGAAATAGCTGAATCTAAATATGTGCGGCAAAACGCAATTTCATGACAGCGCCTCGGGCAATTTCTGAGCCGATCCGCTGGGAGGATCGCCGACTTTGCGAGTGAATTGCACCGCAATATTTCCCGGTCCACCCGACAGGAAGAGTTCAGGCACAGTGACGAGAGTGACATCGATGTCAAGGGAGCTGTGTGTGTCGGAAAATCTTACAGCACTCAACGTCTGCTCTCACCAAACCCAGCGACGGGACCTTGCCGGCGAATTCAGACTGTGCAGAATTGTCGATGCCTTGAAGATTCAGTCGCGGAGAGAATGTTGGCGGACGAGTTGTACTATTCTGTAGGCGTAACATCGCGCCGAAAATGGGGAAGATAAGCTGCAAGAGGTCAAAAGACGCAGTGAGAACCAAGTCAAATTCGAGCTGTTTCAAAACTGGTATATTTCAAGGAGTCACGATTGAACGCGATCACGCGACGTGCGTCACAATTGTGATGTTTAGCGACACTCACAAGTATCTTTCGACGAGGGCCACAATTGAAACGGCAAGTCACAAAACTTCCCTCAACACCATGAAAGCCTTTCATCAATCTCTCCTCTAATTTCCAGCTAGCAGCGACATGTGTGCAGAAAACTCAGTGATAGTGAATTCACGAGAGAGGAGATAGTCAGCCTTACACTGTCGACAAGTGGACGTCGTCCGGGCGGCTGACCGACGTACGCTTAAGACCAAACCCGCTGCCGCATATATACCCAGATTACCACTACGAAGGCTCTGCCAGAACCTTCATTTACCCTATCTGATATCATGAGTACCGTACACGTCCTAGATAGGTTCTACCTTGCCATTACCCTCCTAATCACAGTTGGCTATCAGCTGCTTGGTTTTGCTGTCGCTTGGACCTTCCAGGTGAGCTTTAGAGTTCTACTTCTTACGAGCTGCTACCGTGAATGCTTACTGAGGGAAAGTTTGATAAGCTCACGGACTTCACTGGCGGTGAGTTGTATTGCGTATATGCACTCACTATGACGGTTAATCCTATAAGGATTCAGGATCCAATTTTCTTGTACTTGGCACGTTCTTCCTCCCCCTTTGTTACGCTGCAGCCAACTCTTGTACTACTATAGCATTGGTTACGCTATTACTTGGCCAAACTTTTCACGCCCGCAATATCATTGCGTCAGTATTTGTGATGGTATGGGCGAGTCGTCTAGCAGGAAAGTAAATCAAAAATCGAGCTATCATGCGTCTGATAGTTGTCAATGCAGGCTTTCTGCTCTTTCGAGTACTCAAACGTGGAAGCGACGCTCGTTTCAACAACATCAGGTCACATTTCTTCAAGTTTTTGGGTGCGTTTTCTTTGATTTTACTATCCCATCTGACATGTTCGGCATCTCATTTATCTGGCCTCTTAGGTTTTTGGGTTGGTATGTCTGATCGTATACCGCTTCTCTATGAGTGGGCTAAGAGCGTGATTGGATGTAGGGCAAATCGTGTGGGTCAGTATCGTCTTGTTAATCGAAATATCAACTCCCTTGTATTTCCACTGACGACATCTCGTAGGTATGGACAGTATCCCTTCCGCTTACGATCTTCAATTCGCCG